TGGAGAAAACCTTTTATGGAAATATATGGGGACATGTAACAAATGTCCAACAAATATTATTGTGTATTGATCCTGAATTGGACTTCATATAATCTTCTAATCATTAACTTGTAAACTGATACCATACAACTTGTAGCACTAAATAATCTACTTGGCTATGATTATTATTATCATTATTAAAAGAGAACTCTTCAAAGTCAAAGCTTCTCATCTGGGTCCCAGGAGGAGTATATTTACTAATATACACCTGTGACCCAAAATCACCATAGAGCAGGCTACTAGTTGCTATATGCTGACAGTGCAGAGCCGCACTCAGCGGCGTATTTACACTTTGTGCTGCCCCAGTCGCCGGCCGCGTCCCCGCATGTCGCCGGCCGCGTCCCCGTGCGCTTCATCTCTCAACCGCAGCGCTAGGCGTTTGCGTACGGCGGCACCAGCGGAGCAGCCGCCCCGACGGAGGGTGCCGCCCTAGGCAAATGCCTAGTTTGCCTCGCGGTAAATACGCCCCTGGCCGCACTGCAGCCAGGAAGGGTCCCAATAATATTGTCGGGATCCACCTTGCTGCTTGATTGACCGCTGTCTCTGCCTCTCTAGAGCCAGAGCCAGCTGTGCCTGCCCCCTCCCCTGTCTGTCCCTCCAATGAGTGCTGGAGGACCAGAAAGTGGAGGCGGGATCACTGCAGGGAGTGGTGACCGACAGCCGCTCCTCTCTGCAGGGAGAAGACATCAGGAGCTGAGTGATCAGCGGTTACATGATCAATAAGCTCTCGATCTATAGAGCCAGCATATGACCCCTGCAGTGTCCCACACCAGCTCTAAGTACCCTATAGAGAAGAGTATATTTTTTTCAGTCCTAAAATGTGGAATATAACATGGGTGCAAAAATTGAAAAAAGGGCCTCAGTCATGAAGGGGTTAATAAAAGACCTACTTGGAAATTGTTGTGCGGCTATAGGAGAGGATAGCAGTAGGGGCATCCATGCCAGGAAGATAACTTGTGGTCTTGACCCAGACAAAAAATGGAGAGAGACCCTGCTCCTCTAGGATGGCAGTTGGGCTGCATGAGGCTCCCACCCCACCATATGTAAAAAACAACTTTTACAATGCCTGAAGGCAGTGAGCTGTAGCAGCATAGATTGATTATAATTAAAGTGGAAGCAAACCCAACTAGTGGCTGCTACAAAAACTCTAAACTGCATATTCTGTCACAAAAACCATGCTGCAATGCCGGCATCTAAAGAAATACTATTCTTACTGCACTAAACACTACAGTGGTTCCAGCACTGACTTCCTCAAGTCACAATGTAGATGAGTGCAGCAATACAATCCCATGAGAATATGGTCTTTGCATGGAGATCTAAAGGACTGCGGCACTGCTTAGATGCTGCGAGTGTGGCACATGCACTAGTGACATCATTATGATTACATAAAGTGAAAACAAAGAAAGGACATTGATTTGTATGATGTGACAGCTATCAATGGACACTATTTTATGTGCATTTTCATAACGTTTTATTGGTGAGTTTACTGCCATTTTAAAGGCCATCTCACCATAACTGGAACAGATGGATTCTCCATAATGGAAAGGGACAGGCTCCATTTATCTCTATGGGAAAGTGTAGCTCTAATTTAGATGTGCAGACGATCACAGACATGGACATTTGAGACCATACGGTCTCAATACAATCAATTTTTAGATTTACCAAAATTATGGAATATGATGACCTGCCCGATATATCCAATCAATTCGTATTCAGTCAGGCAGGGCCTTGCACTGCATAGTTGCTGGCAGACTTAAAGGAGATTGTACAATGAGATGGTAATATGTATGGTGAGCTTAAGTGATAGATTCATTCACCCATAGAGATAAATAGAGCCTGCCATTCACACAGCACAGCTTGTCTAGCTACGCACAATATGGGGAGCATTGAGCTGTGTCCATTTATTTGAACAAACCCTAATAAGCCCACTGGAGAATCAGAAAGGAGAAAACAGAAAGCAGAACGGGATGTGAAAATAAACAAAATATGTCCTTAAACAGAACAAAGTTATGTGAGCACGTAGGCAGCAATTACAGCGGAAGCTACGCATGGCCCTTGTTGTGTAAATTGCTGCACCCCCCTTGTAGTTATAATATATGACATCCCTGGTCTACTTACAATTCTCACACTGCCCTGCTGGACAACTAATCCCTATTTACATCAAAGCAGAACTATGGCCATTACAAAATATGTGCTGCAGCACTTGATTATAAGTATACCTGCAGGTATAGTTTTCTCTTAGTCCCTCTGCAAAGTCACACAAATACTGTATGTATTGATCCTGCCAGTGAAGTTCACATAATGCAGATTCCTGTGATGCTGTGGCAACGATGTTGCACTGCTCCTGAACTCAGGGCGAAGTTGTCACTTTCATGTAAGCTGTGTCTGCTTACACTACAATGGGCTGAATAAATATTGCAGGGGTCGTGGCTCAGGGACATGCGTTGAGGTCAGTGGCAGGTGAGACACGCCCAGGCCGCCCACTGCCCCCTCAGGGCCGGTCACTGAGCTACAAATGGAGGAGGGAGAGAAGAGACAGGGAAGAGCCTCTCTGTCCCTCATTTGCACGTCACTCATGAGGCATCTAGATGGATGAATTCTTTTTTTTGATTGGATGGCTTGGACTAATGGAGCTTTGCCATTGGACCAAACCATCCACAGAGTCCAATCCTCTGACCTTAAGTAAGAGGCTGTTGTAGCTCTGACCTCAGCATGTTAGGTTACACAGAGCTTGTATAACCCAACATAGATGTCCAAAGCCTGATGAAGCTCCGTCCGTGACAGGTTACGCAGCAGGGAGGCTTTCCCTGCTGTGTAACCTGTTAGAAGCTGGTGGGAATGGAGCAAAAGCTGTCAGCTTCAGCACCCAAATGAACCTTGCCATGCTGCTACTTCTACCACATGTTTGGCCTCATTCGCTCCTCTGTCCCCCACATGGGCCCGTGACCGGCACAGTGGGTCTCCCCTCACTGATCGGAGGGAGGTCAGCAAGCTTCTAGCCGCTGATTTCTCTTGTGATCACTGGACCTGGAAATGATGTGTATTACATCACTTCCGGTGTCACTGGGCACATTCTCTGGCTCCTAGAGACAGGAGAAGAAACTGGGGAAGCAAATTGCTGCTCCATCAGCTTCTTTGGGGTCCCTAGGTGACATTAGGGGTCTGAAAGTCTCCATTAAAAAAAAAACGCTTTAACAGCGGTTTAAACTTTCCTTGTTTTCGCTGCGTGCTCCAGTCCGAGAAAACAAAACTGCTCTGGCGGCCGCAAATCATTTTGGGGCGGGCGCATGCGCAGTTTGGATTCTCGGCAGGGAGACGAGCAGAGACGCAAGGTGAGTCTATGGACGCGTGCACCCGCATGCAGACACCGCTGGATCGGAAGTGCCTGCAAGCACAGAGGCGTCAGCGCTGGATCGGAGAGCCGCCACACCGCTGGAGGGACAGATGAAGACATCAGGAAAGAAGAGGAAGATCGGATTAAGAAACATCATTTAAGGTAAGTGCTGACGTTAACATGGGGGGAGGGAAAAAAATTATCCTTTAATGTCACTTTAAGTGTAACAAAAATGTTTTCAAAAACTTAAAGTAACATATAAAGAATGTTAAAAAATGCAACATTTTTTTTTATAATCCCCCCCCCCCTTTCAGGCACATACAACGTAAACCCACGTCGGGTACGCCTATCTACAAAACCGAAAATTGAGCCACACATGTTACATATCACCATGAACCTCGGAGCGTGAGCAATAATTTTAGGGCCATTAATCACTTTTAACACTAAACTGATGAGCGGTAATGGCTTTTAAAGCATCGCCTATGTGAAATTTGGGGGGAAATTTTACCCGACGTGACCCTGTCTTTTATATTTTACCAAAAAATGTACCAATAAATCGGGCATTATATTCTAATTCTGTGCACTCAATTTCATTTTAGTGTATGTTATCCTAAAAATATTGGTTTGATAAACATTTGCGCAAATACCGTGCGATATAAAAAATTGCAACTAGCATTTTTTTATTCTACAGGGCCTCTGATTTCAGAAAATATATCATTGTCTGAAACTGTTTTCTAGCCAAAAATTCAGATGTTATCATGTGTGTGCAAATATTAAGAAATTGCTCCAGACGGCGCGTGGTTTGTCACGTTTAGACATGTAAACATGTACGTGTTTTAATGGGTAAAACTCACGCTCCATTCCTCCATTTTTTCTTCTTCTTTGGACGTACGTGTTTGTAAACTGAACGGAAGAATTATTTTACGGATGTGAACATTTTAGGGCCTATTCACACCAGTGGCTGGTGTGTGATGGCGGACACAATGCCGTTTCACCTTTCCTGGCACATCGCACTGTGTACTTTTTTTGGGTGGTATAACTTTATTGAGATGTCACAAGTAACCTTTCATTCAGTTTTACGGGCACAACGGGGAGCGAGGCGGTTGTTCCGCGTCACATTCCGCTTCGCTGAAAAGTGTAGCATGCCGTACTTTTTTTCAGCACATACCACCGCATTCTCATCACAACACCGTGGTGTGAACCGACCCCATCTGTGACAATGCAAATTGCCTTATCTTGTGTTGCAGATGCGCTGGCAACAGTGGCCAGCGCAGGCCCAACGCATGTGGTGTGGATCTGCCCTTTCAGGTGTTTGTGCGTTTAAACGCATGAAAACGGAAGTACATTATTGACCATCACGTGTTTTTTATTTTTTACACAGGAACTTTCTGCCAGCTACATCCTGAGTAGATATCTCTCGTCTTTATTACGCCTTGTTTGCCTCAGACCTAATTCTCGAAGTGCCCCAGTCAGCTGACCAGCCGGACACCGGCACCGAAGAGGTTAGTGGAAGAGGGCGTGACACAAAAGTGTGGGCGATGTCTGGCTCCGCCCACCCTATCGTAATACCTTCGTCAGAATGAAAGGCGTGGCTTGGAGAACGGCGCTTCCCCATTGGCGGGGTGGGAGTGTCTGGTGACTTTGGCAGTGTTGCGCTGGACTTTCCCGTCATTTCGCTCGGGACGGTCCTGTGAACGGAGGGGAAGGAGAGTTGCCGGCCGGGAAGAAAGAAGGGGGAACAAGGAAGAAGCGCCACACCGAGGAAACACTGCGACCACCACAGCGAGGAGACACCCGGCCGGTGCCAGGGGCCACCATGATGGAAATAGAGTTACCCCCCGCCAAGCAGTCCATGCAGGTGAGGTGGCGAACTGGACGGGTGGGGGGCGGGGCCGAGCTGTCACCTCTGTACTGGCTTGTGAAGGAGAGGAGAGGAGGGGGGAGGGGTGGCTGGAGCTGTCATACACGGGCGCCCTGGCTGTCACATGACCACGTGATCAGATGATCGCAGGCTGCCTGCTTCTGACCATACACCGGACGATTTTGTTGGTGATGCAATAAAGTGCTGTTTTCTGCTACTAGAAGGGGAACTTTCACACATAAGATGTAGAAGGGCGCAGATCAGTACAATTGAGGCTGGCCATGCACAGATTTCCATCTTTGATACAACTCGTTTGGATAATTGCCTTTTTTGGAGCCGATTGGTGCCCCCCCTTTGATCGGTTTTACGCCAAATCGGCAGAAAACGCCTGAAATACAGTCAGTGTATGGCCAGTTTAAGACTGAGCCTGATATGTTCATCCGGTAATGCCGATCTTCACCCTCTTCAGGGATAATAGATTGATCGATCCTCGTCTGCTAGAAATCGGTGCTCTTTAATAAATCTGTCCCATCCAGAGTCACGAGTGGAAAATGGAGGCCGTGATTGGCTGGTTGGCTGACCTCTGCTGGTGTATGGCCATCATACAATCACATTGGCGGGTCTCCGATCTCCAGACATGTCCTCTCTTCCGGAAGATACAATTGTCGTTGTTCTTTCTCTGGTCAGAGGAACAAACGATAGAAAATCAATAACACGTCATACAGGACATCGGTCTGAATGGAAAGGAATTGCGTGTTGTTGGTGCCGGGTGTTTTCAGGGAATGAACGAGATCAGATTTTGCTTCATATCGTCCTGAAGATCTACCCTTGTGGGGCCCCTAAAGACAACATTACATGGAGTGTGACATGACCTGACATCCCATTGAATGCACCGATCTTCTCCTGTCCTCACTGTCTGGGGGCTCATCTGGGGTGCAGGTTCATCAGAACTAGGTTGGCAAGGGTGCCCTCCAGCTGTTGTGGAACTACAAGTCCCATGACTGAAAGGAGATTGTACAATTAGATTGTAATGTGCGTGGTGAGCTTTAGGTTGTCATGGTCGGATATAAATGTGACGGCAGCTGTCTGATACTTCTGTATGTGTCATACAAATTAAACCCAAAACATTAGATTAGGGCCCAGGTGCGCAGTCCGTGGTCATTTGGCACTTCCTGTGCGGCCCTCGGAGCCCCGGCAGACAATAGTCTGGGATTTGTTGCTTTAGCCAGTGAAGGAAAATGATCATTTAGAGTGGATTCTGGTCGGTGCATCTATTACTTTTTGTTTTATTGGGGAAGTCTCCTTTCACTTCCTGTCCTGTAGACACAACAGGAAACACTGGAAATCCCCTCGGTGATGGTTGTCACCAGAGCAAGTGTTACCATTGGATAAATTCCTCTCTCTGCCTCTTATGGCGACAACTCTATTTTTATTATTCTCCCATCGCCACCAGTACTAAGAGGGGTGAGCCTCCCAGCAGGGACAGCAATAAAGCTTTGTCTTCAGACTTCTTTCATTGTGCAGATTGGACTTGTGTTCAGTTATGAAAGTTTTATTTGTTGAACTTAAAGTGTATTTCCACTTTTGCTTTCACATTTGAGAAAACCGCTCCATATGTCCGTTATGCTGTGTGAATAGGAACACATAACGAAAAAGAATTCTTACCTTTTTTTTTTAGATGTTTTGTGAAATCAGACAAGATGGCCGAGTCCAGGCTCCTCTTAGCCCGCTCACAGTGGTCTGTCCTTCTAGAAAAACTGAAATCTGGGGATGTGATGAGCGTCATTAACATACAATGGACAAGCCCCCTCTGAATGGACAAGGCCCCCCTCCCTCCCAGCCCCTCCCTCACTCACAGCCCCTCTTAACATTACAAAGGAATAGAAGCAAGAAGAAATGTTAACCCTTTTAAACCCTAACCCGAGTAAAAGCAATATAAACGGCAAGAAGCATTTTTATTTGTTTTTTATCTTGCGTGATGTGAATGGGAACGTGTAACAAATATAAAGTAGGTGTGATCCCAATTTGGCTGCAAAAGTGGAAATACACTTTAAAGCCCATCTCTGGGGAAAAAAATCCTCCTTGTATTGGTTCTCAGTTATGTCTGCGGCAGCCTTTCTCAGCTTCTCTTCAGACACAGGACTCTTTAAAAGAGTGCAAAATTTTGAGGCCCCCCAGTCTAAAATGTCATAGGTTTTAAGGGTGGGGCCACATGCAAAAAAGTGGGCTTCTCCCTTCACATCAAATGCCCCTCCTTTTTAAATTAGGATTTCCCCCCTTTCACATCAGTCCCCCTCCTATCACATTGGGAGTCCCCTTCGACTCAATCTTCATGCCCACCTTCACCCCACAGTCCCACTACCACAAAATGATGAGGCACCCCTTAGGAGGCACAGCACCGTAGAAGAGAAAGGCTGGTCTATGGTACCTTGGTAAAGGACTTTTAGTTACCTGATCCCCACTGACACCGGCCCCCACGTCCTCTTCCTGCCTCCGCTGCGGTGGTCGAATGCCCGCTGGTGTCATCACATCTAATCCAGGGCCCATATCCCTGAATAATATGCGAGGGGACAGTCTACAAGGGAGAGGGGTGAGTGCTGGCCTCACCTTCCCAAATAAAGCCGCCATGGTTTGCTGGCTGTATGTGGAGTTAAATCACATTACACTGCTCAGTTCTAGAACTCCTTCTCTGTTTTAGCTGTTGTGTGATGTCAAGTTTTCTGGTGTTACTCGCTTTGTATGTGACTTTGTCGTTGTCGGGATGTGTAGTCTGAACGCAGGCAATGGTCGGAGTTTGCATGCTCCCTCGCTCTCTCCTTGACAACTGAATGTGCAGAGTCACAAAGGGGCTCCTTAGGGGGGTCAGTCCATGTGCAGGGAAAGGTACCGGGTTATTGGAAGCCGTGTTCTATGGCTCCTCTTAGCCCGCTCACAGTGGTCTGTCCTTCTAGAAAAACTGAAATCTGGGGATGTGATGAGCGTCATTAACATACAATGGACAAGCCCCCTCTGAATGGACAAGGCCCCCCTCCCTCCCAGCCCCTCCCTCACTCACAGCCCCTCTTAACATTACAAAGGAATAGAAGCAAGAAGAAATGTTAACCCTTTTAAACCCTAACCCCCACGTCCTCTGCTCAGTTCTAGAACTCCTTCTCTGTTTTAGCTGTTGTGTGATGTCAAGTTTTCTGGTGTTACTCGCTTTGTATGTGACTTTGTCGTTGTCGGGATGTGTAGTCTGAACGCAGGCAATGGTCGGAGTTTGCATGCTCCCTCGCTCTCTCCTTGACAACTGAATGTGCAGAGTCACAAAGGGGCTCCTTAGGGGGGTCAGTCCATGTGCAGGGAAAGGTCCCGGGTTATTGGAAGCCGTGTTCTATGAAATCCATTCTTTGTGGCCTGCATGATGTAACATTAGCGTATCACATTCTCAGAGTCCGGATACGATTTGTGTTGGTGTTCTATGAGAATCGTATCATCTCTGAGCTCAGTGGTTTATCTTGGCTGTTGGCGACATTGAGCTCAGGGGAGCGGTCCTCCATTTTATCCGTAAAGATAACCTGGAATTGCATGTTGAGTGAACAGGGAACATGAGTATTAGTGTTCCCTTCTGAAGGATCGTTCAAGGGTTTTGTGGAAGAAATATCAGACTTTGTGGTTCTCTATAGCAGGGCTGGACAAATCCCAGGAGCCAGGTAACCAATGCTCCTCAGAGATTACAGCTGCGGCTGAACTTTTCAGGTTTTCTCTAGTTGTCAATGGGGCTGAGGCCTAAAAAAACATTTCCTGTTGGCGCCTGGACTGGACAGACCGGCTCCTGTATGACCATGGTTCTCAACTGGTGGGTCACGACCCAAAAGTGGGTCACAACCCCATGTTCAGTGGGTCGCTGCGTGCCTTCCACTGCTAGGTGAGAGGCTCCTCAGCCTCCCCCTAGCGCAGAACTGTCAGTTCCCGCACCAAGCAGCCATTCAAAATATGCTGCCCGGTGCCAAGTATCAGCTTGAGGTGGGCTGGGGGTATGGCCACAAGGGAGCTCCATCCATACCGGCATTGCTTACAGCTCCCTCCTGTGCCCTGTAGAGGTGCCTGGACCGGAGTGACGTCACATTGTGGCTCCCGGTACCTCTACAGGTCGCGTATGGGAGCTGAACAAGCAATGTAGATGGAGCTCTAGCACAGCAGCCCACACCGGACCCCAGGCTGAGGATCCCTTCCAGTTGTTAGTAAGGTGGAGAGTGGATAGATCTTATATAAAATCATTTTGGGAGTGTGTGCATGTGATAATGTGTCAGTGTTTTTGAGGGCCCATTCACTCTAGTACAGTGCAATAATCGCACAGTCGCATGTGATTAACGCACTGTACCATGGTATCGCACCTACTACACGTTCTGCTGTGGGAGGTGCATTGCGTTGCCACTCCCGCCCACAGTTCGATCACCCACACTGGAACGCACTTCATTGCAGTGCGACTTGGGTCACAAGTTCATGACCAAGGACAGTGAGTCCTGAGGTTACACAGGTTGAGGACCACTGCTGTATGACATATATTTGTTTCTCTACCGCTGCCCTGTAGTCGGGGTCTGATATTGAGCTCCATACTTCATCATTCTCACTAGAATAGGGAAGGACAATCATTGTTGGCAGTACTAGAGAGACCGTATTTGATGGCATTGTTCAGGTATTTTAAGAGCCAGCGGTGCCGACTGCAAGATACTGAAGCGTGGCCCCGTGGGAGATTCCGCCATTCACACATTTAGTGTAGATGGAGGAATGTGTTGCACTTTTTCCATCTGACCATAGATAGTCTGCAGATAATCTTTAGGTGTATGGCCAGATTTTGCTACTCAGGTGACCTTTCACAAGGCTTCAACATAAGAAGGATCAGAATGTCAGCTGTCAATAGCAAAACTCACTAATGGGCATTTATAGGTTGCCGTTATGTTAATTGGAACATACTATTGTAATATATAACTTTTATAAACTGACTTGTTGATAAG